CTTTAAAGAAATTATTTAGCACATATAATCAGTTTACTGGATATTTTACTTAAATTACATCAAGTAAGTAATAAATAAAGAGGTTGTCTAGGTGGTCTGGCTGTATAGAATTTCTAATGAATTTGAATAATTTTAAATAAGGAAGGAAAAAGAATAGATCGAGCTTTGTATGACTTTAACAGGATCAACTCACATTTTTAAGTAATCTGAATATTATATATTTCTTGGTTAAATAACTCGTTATCTATATAACCAGTTGTATAACCAAGAAAATACTAGGTATAAGAAACTATGCAACTTCTATAAGTTGTAGTATTTATTCAGAATTACATTTGAGAGGCATTTTAATTATTCTACGTTCAAATTAAGTCTAAGACTAAGTGTAAAGTAAGGTTCTTGTTGGTCGGCAGTCCTTTTTACATTTTGGTCGGTGTTAATTGCACGCCTGCTTCCAGTTATCTTTTCACTCCTGTTAGTGATACGCCATTAGATAAATGGTTCAAACAGTTTAAAAGGTTGGCAGACATAAATTCTATGATTAAAAATACTGTTAATTCTGTTGTACTAACGATTTTATTGTTCGTTATTATTTTTCACTTAATGTGTCTGTTTTGATAATATCTCAATGATTGAGTGGTCGCAGATACGACTAAGAAAGTCAAAGTTGGAACATGAAATAAAGGCTTCACTTCCCGGATTGAGAAAAGTCTTTAATATGTTCCGATTTATAGTACCTGATCATATGTCGCCATGCCTAGCATTTGGCACATACAATTGAATGGATGAATCACCTCAAATAAGAATCTTTCCTAAATACCAGAATAGTCTTCTTTAAAAAACCTACCCAATGTCTATTCTACACATTTCCTAGTTCTACATCACAGTGGTGCGCTACCGAGGGTCGCGCATGGCCGCTCCATCTAATGTGCTATGGTCTACCGCCGGCCATGGTCCAAGACGTTAGGGGGAAAAAGCTTAGGCTGATGAACCTGAGGTATATGGGAATCCATGGTGGATACTTGAAGGAAATTGTACGTTGTTAGCTACCGAAGTAATTGTATGGTGCTCTGTGTATTCCGTATGTGATTTTAATTGTAGGGCTTGTGTTGTGTGAAGAGAAATGTATTAGATAGCTTCCTTTACCAGTAGATATAGTAGAGGCGATAATAATATAATTTCATGTTATCTCAAAGTAGTTTGGTCTGTTTAAGATTTTATTGCAATATAGGGGTTTTTTTGATGGATTTTATCTAATATGTAAAATAGGAATTAAAATATAAGGGTTCAACTATAATAATATACACAAAAAAGAAATAGATGCCATAATAAGTCCATAAGAGATGGCAGATTCATATTTAGGATGGGAACGCACCTGCTTATCATCCGGTGTGGCAAAGAGCCATAGGCTACCAATTTTAAACCTGCCTTTAGCTAAGTTCTCATTATGAACCTGATGCATCTCATTTCTATAATAACTAATTTAATAATGTGCAACTGTGTCGATTTTTTTGTAGAATAGAACAATGTCAAATGACAGAAAATATAAAATTTCAAGCGGAAAAGGTACACTATTTATTTCGTAAGAAAAAAACAATATCATCCTTTATTCTCATTCTTTATACAGAAACTTAACTAAGTTAAATGGCGACTTATGTTTCAGTGTTTCCAACTACTTAAGCATTGCACCACTAGATCTTATTGTTAGACAAAGTATAGCAACAGAACAATTGTTTAAGTTGTTGCCAAGAACACTAAGAAAGTATTCGCTACCGCCAAGTCTTTCCATACTTTGCACAATCTAGAAATGTAACCAAGACCTTTGTACTGCGTTAGAGATCACTAATTAGTCTCTAACTGATTAGCTCATAAAACGGTATTCTAAAAAATACTTGCGTGAGGACACCATTCACAAAGTCCCGTTAAACTAGAAGTAAACATCGTTAATTTCATTTTAAAAGAATCGACAATGAAAGCCGTGACTGGCAAAACTTAATAGCATAGATTCTTTGACTGAGATCGCATGGTTGGCGCCGACTACTTACACATTCGGCACAGAGACTAAGTTACCGGCTTCTGAGTAAATATATTGCGGGCCAGTAATGTCAATGATTTGTAATATAATTAGATATTATTAGTAGCTCGGTGTTTGATTACAATGATTAAGCTCGTATCTCGTAAAGAACTCAAAAAATCTTGCGATGCATCACTCTTAATTACTCTGAACGAGTCACATAGGGCAGATAGTAGTCACTTTAAAACATTCTCAGTATTTTGGGTTCAACTCCTGTAAGCCAGGATCTACAGTAGATACAACCATGAAAACACTGGAAGTACTGGAAGAGACATGAATTCTTAGATCCCGCAACGAAAAAAATCAGTAGATATTTTTAAAATAAAGATATTACTAGAGGAGAAGAAAAAAACGATGATTTACACTTCCCTCGATGAATTAATGTAAGGATACTTAATTCAATTAGTACGGTTAGTAATATACCTACGTAATCTTACTGTCGGATTCGTCACTGAATGAAGGAGAGGAAGCTGTGTGTCCTTGTCTAATTACGTGTATCTACGGCTTAAAGCACATTTAAAAACATTAAAAACAGACATTAAAAAGCGGCTACTAAATAGAAAACATTATTTCATAGACTAGGAAGCGATGAGTGGTCAAACAAATAGCTATTGTATAAACAGTGGCAGGTTACTCAACCACTATAATCTCAGTAATCAAGTGAGCGTACTTTTTATTCTGTAATTATTCACGTCACCGGGATGTGTAGGAAACTATTTCTTCATCATTTCTTGTTTCTTTACAGACCGATGCACATATTATATGTATGAGAACATAGTACGTTAAACTGATTAAAGCAGGTCTGGATTAACTTACCAGTTTGCTTTAATTACTAAGACCACTTTAGATTACTTAGTTTTATTTCATGTTAGATAAAATCAAGTTGAGAATCAAATCAAAGAAATAATAACTATTAATTTACAAAAAGGAAGTTAATCCGAGTGGTCACAAGTGCGACTGCCGGGCAACAGGTCTTGGGCTCGATTCCAGAATTGTGCCCAGTATATGGCAATAGGCTTGCCCCCTATTACATGGGACTTATGACATAAATTGTGAAAAGTGAGTGTTACATTGTACAGTGGCCTTAAGTGCCGTATAAGCAGTGTCGTAGCAGGGGTATGCAGAGTTGCACACTTCGGGGATAAAAGGCGTGATGTTATGTATGAAGTTAATCTTCAAAAATCATTTCATATGCACACTTGCAAAGTTCATCTTCGATATTCTGAAACGTTAAAGATATTGAGAACGTTACCGCGAACATATTAAAGTTTGTGGTTCAGAAAATCATCAGAATTGGATATTGTCAGATAATTAGATTTGATTAAACACGGCCTCTAGCTGATGCCTTGTCTGATTTCACTTTTTTATGGAATAGGAGGCAAACGAGCAGACGGATCACCTGATGGTAAGCGATTAGCACCGCCCATGGACATCCGCAAAACCAGAGGAGTCACAGTTGCGTTGCCGGCCTTTTAAAAAGGAATACGCTCTTTTCTTGAAGGTTTGAAAGTCGTATCGGTTCGGCAATACCGCCGACGATTCATTAAATCATTCAGGTCTGTTTCTCTATGTGTTACTTCTTGACGACAAAGTAAAATATAAGTTAATTTAGACACATTGTTGTCAATGTTGAAGGCAAGTGAGCAAGTCACAATCCTAACACGCGAG